ACCAAGGCCAAAGGTCCTGCAGGGCTACCTGTAAACTTCTTCTTCTTCTTCTTTTAGGGTTACCCTGGATCCAGAGGGGAAAAGGTCAGTGCCTGTCCCTAGTGGGTTCCCAGGGTCTGGGTTCTGTGGTCAGTGGTGAGCAGAGGTTGGGCCCAGGCTTCCATTTAACTAGTGACCGCAACATCCATTTCCAGTTATCCTCCCGCCCGTTCTTAGTGGGCAGAGAGAGTAGTGAGGGCCCCTCAAGCGGGAAGGAAGGGTGGGTAAGAGGGGAGTGTGATTTACCTTCACAGAGCAGATGAGGGAATGACTGCATTGCCAGGGTGGGTAGGAACACCGTTTGCATGCTAGAGGGAGATGGCGGGTGTGTGCCTTCCGCCCAAGCTTCCATAGTTTGAAACAAAACCAGCAGCCAGAACACGGGACACGTTTCCAACAGAAGGAGCAAGAACCCGGGACCTAGAATTTTCTCAGTTGTCTTTTCCTCCGGACAACAGGTCTTTGAGGTTCAAATAGAAAGCAAGTCGCGAAGCTTCCCTTCTCTGACGTCTCTGGGCTGGCTTGCTGGCCATGACGAGGGTGTTGGCTGGGTGAGCTTGTCAGTTTGGAGATGCTCCAAGCTCCCTACTGTTGCCCCGTCCCCCCTGCCCCCCAAATTGATTCTATCCTGTGGTTTCCTCATAGGGATCCAGAGGTGAAAAGGGTGACTTGGGGCCCAAAGGAGAAAAGGTAATGGTCATTTGTAGAAGGGGTAACGGGTGGTGGAAGTGGGCACCCTTTATCCCCTCCATCCTGTGGCCTGCCTGCCTAGCAGGGCTTCATTTTAACATGTCTGACCAAGTTGCCCCTCCACCTTTCCACACACAATGACAGAGGTGGCCACTGTCTTTGTTATTCTCTTCACAGGGTTTCCCGGGATTCCCTGGCATGTTGGGACAGAAAGTAAGTACCTAGAGGTCACGCAACGTGGGCTGGGTGGATTCTCGGCCCTCGAAGCACAATGAAAAGAGTGCTGTCGCTTTGTCCCTCGAACAATGACCGCGCTTTCTGTGAGAGGTCCTGGTTTGGGATGGGAGAAAGCGGCCTTGCACATGGAAGAGACCTTACGTCGCATGCACATGCCGGCCAGCTCAACGGACAGGAAAGCCTGCCCCATCTGGGGGCCCTTCTGGGCTTTTCCTTCTCCTGGAGTCTCTGGTCGGGGCAAACCATGAAGTCGTCGACTATAGACCAAAACAATTGATGGCTCAAGCCCACCCACAGGCACCTTGGAAGGGAGATCAAGTGACAGTTCCATTCCGCGCCCATGGGCTGCTGTCAATGGCAGTCAGCTCCATGGCCACTGGCTGTAGAGTTCAAAAGCAGGAAGCCGCCCAACCGAGCATCTCCCCGAGGGTTACACATCATGGCATTTCAGCTAGCATTTTTTTTTTTACACTTGGTCTTTGTTTTTTGTTTAAATTTAATTTAATTTTTTAAAAACATTTTATTAGGGGCTCATACAACTGTTATCGCAATCCATACACACATCAATTGTGTAAAGCGCATTTGTACATCATTCTCAA